TTTCTCATCTTTTCTCTCTCTCTCCGTTTACCCTCTCTCTCTCTCTCTCTCTCTCTCTCTCTCTCTCTCTCTCTCTCTCTCTCTCTCTCTCTCTCTCTCTCTCTCTCTCTCTCTCTCTCTCTCTCTCTCTCTCTTTTCTTTTCCCTTCCTATCCTTATCCTCTCTCTTATCCCTTACCCTCCCTCCCCCCTTTCTCTCTGTCCTCCTCCTCTCATTCATTCTCCTGCATCCTACTCCCTCCTCCCCCACTCTATGCCCCCCCCTCCTCCTCTTTCACGTCCCCTGTCCCCTTCCCCCCCTCTCCCATCCCTTACCCTTCCCCCTCCCCCTGTCACTCCCCCCACCTGTCCCCCTTCCCCCTCTCTCACCTCCTTCCCCCTTCCCCCTCCTCCTGTCACTCCCCCCCCCAATCTGTCCCCCTTCCCCCTCTCTCACCTCCCTTCCCCCTTCCCCCTCCCCCTGTCACTCCTCCCCCCACCTGTCCCCCTCCCTCCCTTCAACCTCCATCCCCCTCCCCCTCCCGTCTTTCTGTTCCTTCCCCCTCCCTCTTCCTCCCTCCTCTCTATCTCCCTTCCCCCTCCCCCTCCCTCCCTCCTCTCTATCTCCCTTCCCCTACCCCCTCTCTCCCTCCTTTCCTATCCCCTTTCTCTATTTAGGTCCGTAGAGAAGGCGTGAGAATTATGACGTTTCCTAATTTGTAACATCCGGTGAAAGAGAGAGAGAGAGAGAGAGAGAGAGAGAGAGAGAGAGAGAGAGAGAGAGAGAGAGAGAGAGAGAGAGAGAGAGAGAGAGAGAGAGAGAGAGAGAGAGACTAATAATAATGATGATGTTCCTACTAATACTAATATTGGTAATAATGATTATGATAATAATAGTAATAAATACCAATAACGACGACGATCATCATCATCATCATCATCATCATCATCATCATCATCAATCATCATCACCACCACCACAGGGAATAGCCAGACAGACAAACAAACAAACAAACAAACAATCCAACAGAAAAAAAAACAATAAGCGAGAGACGGATAAAAAAAAAATATCAAGAAAATGTAACCTCATAACAACACGATAAACGAAACCTCCGAAGCGAATCCAAAAACCTTTTCTTGGGATCGGAAGCCGCGTTGGTTTGTGGGTTTCGGTACATCGCCACCAGGAGGCAGCACCGATACCGTCCCGATACCTTATACCCGCTTGTTTGCTTTGGGATTATTGGTTATTCCATACCAGTTGTGAGTCATTTCACCAGCGGCGGTATGCGGGGTCTCTTCCCTTGCCGGTATTGGTACCTCTGCCACGCTTGTAATACTCTCCGACTACCTGTGCGAGACACGTGCCCGGTTACCTGTGCTAGACTTGTGCCCTATGCCGTGGGTATAGATGAGGGCGATACCATTAGCTTCTTCTTTTCCTATTTATTATTACTATTTTTATTCCTTTTCTCAAGTTCTGATTTTTATTGTTTTTTTTTATTCTTTTGGTTTTGATTCGTTCCTCTCTCCTCTCTCCTATCCTTTCCGATTCCCTTTCTCTCTCCTTTTCCTTTTGCCTTCTTCTCTTTTATCCCTTTTCCTTCTCTCTTCCTTTCTCCTTTCCCCTTCCCCTTCCATCTGTCCCTATCCCTTTCCCTTCCTTCTCCTATCCCCTTCCCCCTCCTCTCTCCTATCCCTTTCCCCTTCTTTTCTCCTTTCTCCTTCCCTTCCCATCTTCTGTTCTCTTCCCCTCTCCTCTCCTATCCACTGCCCCTCCCCTCCCCTCTCCCCCTTCCCCTCCCCGCCCCCTCCTCTCCTATCCCCTTCCCCTCCCCGCCCCTCTCTCCCTTCCCCTCCCCTGCCCCTTCCCCTCCTCTCCTATCCCCTGCCCCCTCCCGTCCCTTCCCTCTCCCCCTTCCCCTCCCCTTCCCCTCCTCTCCTATCCCCTGCCCCCTCCCGTCCCTCCTCTCCCTTCCCCCTCCCTTCCCCTCCCTCCCCCTCCCTCCACCCCTAAGGCCCCCTGGCGTCGGTTTACCTTTGAAGAACCGTAGATGAAGGGTCACTTGATGACAGGTCCGGGAAGGTGAATATGGGGGGGGGGGTTATATCAAATACGGCATTGGAGAGGGAGAGGGAGGGAGGGGGGAGGGGGGGAGGGGGGGAGGGAGGGAGAGAAGAGAAGGAGGAGAGAGAGGGAGAGAAGAGGAGATATACTTATATATATATATATATATATATATATATATATATATATTACACATATATACATACATACTTACATACATATATATATATGTGTGTGTGTGTGTGTGTGTGTGTGTGTGTGTGTGTGTGTGTGTGTGTGTGTGTGTGTGTGTGTGTGTGTGTGTGTGTTTGTGTGTGTGTGTGTGTAGAGAGAGAGAGGGGGCGGGACAGATAGACAAACAGGCAGAGAGACACAGAGGGAGGGATAGAAAGAAAGAGACAGAGAGAAAGAGAGACCCCGAGAGAAAAAAGAAAAGAAAGAGAAAGAGAAAGAGCGAGAGAGAGTGGGAGTAAGTAAAACAGATGCAACAAAGACGCATAGAAGAAGGAACATTAGGGTACGAGGTAGACAAGTAGTTGCACAGTGTTGCAAAGCGTTGAGAAGAGTTGGGAGATGACTACAGGGACAAGAAACAGGTGCTTTGGGGAATTCCCTTGCATCGGTGACAAGAACTATGAATAAATACACGAAAATAGTTTGCAATATGGTTAGCAGTGATGTGAATAGTGCAAAAAGAAAAAGAATAAGTTGTTTTAGGAAGTTCACAGAGAAATATATTTACGAAAACAACTTAGAGATGGAGTGAAATCTTAGAAGACGAAGCAAGAAATTCCAGATTTATAATGTTTTGTATTGTGTTAATTTGCAATAGAAAACAACAGTATCTATTTTGACTAAAAAAAAACATGAACCGAGAATAAACTCTGCGTAAAACAATAAACGAAAAGAAAGAGAAACAAAAGGCCATCGAAACCCGCCAAAAGCAAATGGAAACTGTGTCGGATCTGCTTCGAAACTGCTCCATATAGGATCGAAGAGACACATCTGTTCTTCCTTTTTAAAACATTCCTCTGCAAAGTAGCGCCTTCTCAAGGAGTTATAATCTCATACTAGTTACCCACTACGAAAACAAAATAATAACGATAATACAATACCGAAATAATATCCCCGCCAAAAAGAGAGAGAGAGAGAAAAAAAAAGAAAAGAAAATCGAGTTGGATCCCCCTCCCCTTTTTCATTTACTTTTTTTTTATCTTCTTCTTTTCTTTTCTTTTTTTTTTCTTTTACGAACGCTCTTCATTGGCTTAAAAGGGGGACTCATTAAACAGCATATGTCATTAGCAACTCTTCGATTACGGTTATGAAACCTTTTCCGAGTAAGGCAACAGCCCAGTCCCACGGAGCTCGAAAACACATACGATTCAAAACCATCGTAACCTTACTGAGAGAGAGAGAGGGGGAGGGAGCGAGAGAGAGAGAGAGAGAGAGAGAGAGAGAGAGAGAGAGAGAGAGAGAGAGAGAGAGAGAGAGAGAGAGAGAGAGAGGAGAGAGAGAGGAGAGGAGAGAGAGAGAGAGAGAGAAGAAAAAAAGACAAGAGCCTAGAAAAAGAGAATGAAAATGAGAAAGAGAAAGAGAAAGATAGAGAGCGAAGAAAAAAAAAACAAGAAGCAAGAGAAAGAGAATGAAAAAGAGAAAAAGAGAGAGAGAGAGAAGAAAAAAAAAGACAAAGAAGCAAGAGAAAGAGAATGAAAAAAGAGAAAGAGACAAGAGACAAGAGACAGAAACGGAGAGAGAGAGAGAGAGAGAGAGAGAGAGAGAGAGAGAGAGAGAGAGAGAGAGAGAGAGAGAGAGAGGAGTCCCCCTAGAGCACATGCCGCCTATTAGAGACGAAGGCAATAACATAATCCAGACGGAGATGAGAAGGGTCGGCTTTTTCTTCTGTGGCCAAAGAAGGCTTTATCTGATTCGCTCTCGGCTCTTGGCTCTCGGCTCTCGGGTCTTGGGTCTCCAGGTCTCGGCTCTCGGGGTAGTGGGTCTCCGGGTCTCGACTCCTCGGCTCCTCGGGTAATGGGGTGTCTCTGGGTCTCGAATCTCGGCTCCTCGGGTCTCGGGTCTCGGCTCCTCGGCTCCTCGGGTCTCGGCTCCTCGGCTCCTCGGGTAATGGGGTCTCTCCGGGTCTCGTATCTCGGCTCACCTGTCTTGGGTCTCGGGATTTCCTGTCTCGAATCTGAGCTCTCGGCTCTCGAACGCCTCTTTCAATAACCCACAAAAAAAAAATGCTATGACAATCGAGTCATTATGGCGGGAGAGGGAAGGGAGAATGGGGGGAGGGGAGGGGTAGGGAGAAGGGAGAAGGGGGAGGAGAGAGGGAAGGGAAAAGGGGTGAGGGGGAGAAGGAGGAGAGAGAAGGGGAGGGAGATGAGGAGAGAGAGATGGAGGGAGATGAGGAGGGGGAGGGGGAAGGAGGAGAGAGATTAGGAGGGGGAGGGGGAGGGAGAAGGAGAGAGAAGGGGAGGGAGATGAGGAGAGGGAGGGGGAGGGAAAAGGGGGTAGGGGGAAGGGGAGAAGGAGGAGAGAGAAGGGAAGGGAGATGAGGAGGGGGAGGGAGAAGGGGGGAGAGGGAAGCGAGAAGTGGGGAGAAGGAGAGAGAAGGGGAGGGGGATGAGGAGGGGGAAGGGGAAGGAGAAGGGAGAAGGAGAGAGAAGGGGAGGGGGAGAAGGGGGGAGAGGGAAGCGAGAAGGGGGGAGAAGGAGAGAGAAGGGGATGGGGAGGGGGAGGGGGAAAGGGAAGAGGAGGGGGACAGGTCGGTTATTCATGCAGTTCCCTCGTAGACACGTTTTTCTCCAAGATATTCTTTTCTGATATTTGAATTGATATATATATATTTTTTTTCTCTCCCCATTTTTTTTTTTTTTTCTCTCTCTCTCTCTGCCGATTTTCTCTTCTTTTTTTTTTACTTCTGTTACATATTTCTCTTCCTGTTCCTAGTTTAT